ACAAGATCTTGATGAACAAAGCACTTGAGCTTCTTCCTCTCTCTAGAACACTTTTCATTCTCTCTAAAAATGTCAGATTTTTGCTACAAAATGAGTCCCAAAGCCTATTTATCAAAATGGGGTCGGGTTATGAAAATAAAAAAATTAACCCTCCGAAAACAGGTCTGCGGTCGCATAATAGACCGCAGAATGGGTATGCGGGTCGCAAAATGCACCGCAAAATCGATGCCCAGAAATGGGCTTCACTGGACAGGTTTGCAACCATTTTGCAGCCGCATAACTACTCATGTGATCGCATAATGGTTCTTCGATCGCAGAATTGGTCACAGAATAGCATTTTTCCAGAATTTGGTAATTTGGTCATAACTTCTTGTAGGAATGTCCAAATGACGAACGGTTTGAAAAGTTAGAAGCTAGACTCGATGATCTTTCATTTGATAGGCAGATAATCACATAACTCCACATACACACACACACACACACACACACACACACATATATATATATATATATATGCTCGTTCCAAGTGGGTCTTGTACGAACTCACTTGAAACTTTAGTCTATTATGAAATCTCCAACTTCTACATTCGATGCCGAAACCTATCGAATCAAGTCCGATTGACTTCAAATTTTGCACACAAGTCATAAATGACATAACGACCCTATTCCAGTTTCTGGAATTAAATTCCGGCCCCGATATCAAAAATTCAACCCCTCGGTCAAACGTTTCAAAAATTCAACTTTCGTCATTTCAAGCCTAATTCTACTATGGACCTCCAAATAATTTTTCGAACATGCTCCTACGTCCAAAATACCCTTACGGAGCTATTGGAATCATGGAGGTGTTTATGGATGATTTCTCCGTGGTGGGGGATTCATTCGAAGATTGTCCTCACATTTTAAGAAGAGTGCTCAAAAGATGTGTGGAGATAAATTTGGTGCTGAATTGGGAAAAGTATCATTTTATGGTACAAGAAGGAATAGTTTTGGGGCATCGACTGTCCAGTAAGGGAATTGAGGTCGACCATGCTAAAGTTGATGTGATTGAGAAATTTCCACCGCCCACTTCGGTCAAGGAAGTGAGAAGTTTCCTTGGGTACGCCGGGTTCTACAGGCGATTCATAAAAGATTTTTCCAAGATTGCTAACCCTTTATGTAAACTTCTTGAAAAGGATCAGCCCTTTGTGTTTTCGAATGATTGCAGGTTGGTATTTGAGGAGCTGAAGAAGAGACTGATAACTACACCCATCATTGTTGCACCCAACTGGGAGCAAGCATTCGAGCTCATGTGCGATGCCAGTGATTATGCTATAGGAGCAGTCTTGGGACAGTGAAAAGACAAGATGATGCACCCGATTTACTAAGCAAGCAGGACGCTCAGCGGTGCACAACTCAATTACACTGTAACGGAAAAGGAAATGTTGGCTATAGTGTTTGCCTTCTACAAATTTAGGTCGTACTTAATTGGTTCAAAAGTTATTGTTTATACTGACCATGCAGCAATTAGGTACTTGATAGCAAAGAAGGAGTCAAAGCCATGCTTGACCCGCTGAGTTCTTTTGCTACAAGAATTCGATCTGGAAATTCGTGACAGAAAGGGGATGGACAATCAAGTGGCAGACCACCTCTCAAGATTGAAAGGAGCTAAAAAGAGAATGGAGGTTGAAGACATAAAAGAGACATTCCCGGATGAACAGTTACTTGATGTGACAATGGAGGAGACGCCATGGTATGCTGATATTGCTAACTATTTAGCAAGCAGTATTGTACCTTATGAACTCTCCTCAATTCAAAAGAAAAAGTTCTTCTGCGACTGTCGAGCCTTATATTGGGACGAACCTCTATTGTTTAAAATATGTGTAGATAATATGATCTGTAGGTGTATCCCCGAGAAAGATCAATCTTCTGTTTTGCAGGCTTGCCATGCTTCACCATATGGTGGACACTTTGGAGGAATCCGGAAGCAGCAAAAGTGTTGGAATCGGGATTGTATTGGCCTACTCTGTTCAAGGATGCCCATACTTGGGTCAAAAGTTGCGATGAATGCCAAAGGATAGGCAACATTTCTCGCCATCACGAGATGCCGATGATCACAATTCAAGAGGTGGACATTTTTGACATATGGGGGATCGACTTTATGGGGTCGTTCGTCAGCTCGTATGGTAACAAATATATATTGGTAGCGGTTGACTATGTCTCTAAGTGGGTCGAAGCGGTGGCTCTCCCAACCAATGATGCAAAAGGGGTCACAAGTTTCCTAAAGAAAAACATCTTCACATGTTTTGGCACCCCTAGAGCTATAATCAGTGATGGTGGAACCCATTTTTGCAATAAAGCGTTCGCACGTCTGTTGGAAAAGTATGGAGTTTGCCACAAAGTAGCCACACTGTACCACCCACAGACGAGCGGGCAAGTTGAAGTGTCCAATAGAGAAATTAAAAGTGTCATGACAAAGACAGTGAATGCAACAAGGATCGATTGGGGAAAGAAGCTGGATGATGCATTATGGGCATACCACACAACATTCAAAACTCGAAATGGTATGTCACCGTACAAGTTGGTATTTGGAAAGGCATGCCACCTTCCGGTAGAGCTCGAACATAAAGCACTTTGGGCACTGTGATAGCTGAATCTGGATATAGAGACCGCAGGCACCAGTAGAGTCACTGAGTTACATGAGCTCGAGGAATTCAGGTTCCATGCATTTGAAAATGCTAGATTATACAAAGAAAAGATGAAAATGATCCATGATAAGCACATCTTAGATCGGAACTTCAAGCCCGAAGATCTAGTGTTGTTATACAACTTGAGATTGAGGTTCTTTCCGGGTAAGTTGAAGTCCCGATGGTCAGGACCCTTCAGAGTGGTACAAGTGTTCTCAAGTGGAGCTGTGGAGATTGAATCCGAAGATGGGACAAACAAGTTCACGGTAAATGGGCAAAGGTTGAAACATTACCTTGGAATGGTCGAAGAGAAAGGGGATAAAGTGGTGATAACTTTGGAAGAGCCCTAGTAAACGAACGAGGAGTGATAATGAAAGCCTTCATCATGCCGCGATGTTAAATCAGGCACTTCCAGGGAGGCAACCCATGGTTTGTTGTAAATCATCGTGCCGCGACGTTAACTTAGGCGCTTTTTAGGAGGCAACCCATTATTTTTCTTGCATTGGTTGTTGTAATTGATTTTGAACAACTTTGACCGACCTACTAGTGTGCAGGACAAAGATCATGTGCATCGGAAGGATTCTGGGGTCGAAATTAACCCAAGAATAGGTAAAAAAAAATGCGGCAAACACAAATATTAGCTGGAAACGGAGATCCGCGGCTGCGGATTGGACAGCGGATATGGACGCGGATTTTGGCCTGTGTTCTGCCCCCCGTCCGAGGCCGCGGATCGGACCACGGATTGGGGCACGGATTTTGGGACCCCCTCTGCCCACAATCCACAGCCGCGGACTGGACCGCGGATTGGGGCGCGGATGCGCGGCGTGTCCAGGTAAGTTTTTTTTATTTTTAATCCCCAACCCCCATCTTTTCCTTAACCCAAACCCTCACTTCCCCCACTTCTCTTCTTCTCTTCCTAATTTCAAGAAC